ATACATATGAAGTATATAAATTTTTTATCAAGTAGATAAAAAATATCTATTATTCAGACTGGGCAGCTATGTGGCACAGTGTATAGAGTGCTGGACCTGGAGTGAGGAAGATTCATCTTTTTGAGTTCAAATGTGGCCTCAGACATTTATTAGCTGTGTGACCCTGGGCAAATCACTTACCCTGTTTTCCTCAGTTTCCTCATATGTAAAATGAGCTGGAGAAGAAAATGGCAAAACACTCCAGTATCTTTGCCAAAAAAACCCCAAATGGGGTCATGGAGAGTCAGACACAACTGAATGACAAAATTTTCAGACTATGATTTGCAGTTGGATGGATAACCCATAGAGATGGTCTATTATCATGTCTTTGATGGGTACTATAGATGGACAATAAACTGGCATCAGAATTAGATAAAACGCTGGATTGCCTTTAGGAAAGGAAGTTTTTTCCCAATGATTCCAAGCTTCTCCCTGAAACAAAGTTCTGCCCTCTTTTTTTAAACATTGGTGTTTTTCTAGTAATGCTTTATATCTGCAAGTAATAGAATACAACAGTCTGAAGAATTATTGTTGAGGTATCCCAATAGAGAGGTTGATGTAAGTTGTTGTTGTTGTTCAGTCGTATCTAACTTTTCATGACCCCATTTGGGATTTTCTTGGCAAAGATACTGTAATAGGTTGCCATTTCCTTTTCCAGCTCATTTTACAGATGAGAAAACTGAGGCAAACAAGGTTAAGTGACTGACTTTCCTAGGGTCACACAGCTAGTGAGAGTCGGAGACCAGATTTGAATTAATCCTGATTCCAGGGCCGGGCATTCTATCTACTACCCCCCTAGCTGCCAAAAAAAAAAAATGATAGAGTTTAGATTTGAACCCAGGCATCCTGGCTCCAAGCCCAGCACTCTTTCCGCTACACTAAACTGCTTACTCAGGGATATGAGTAGGCTTCAACATATTACCTAAGAAGAATTACATACAAGTGCATAAGGATGTTGTCAGAAAGATCAATGACTAAGAAAGGAAAAAGGTCACTTGAGTAGCAGGAGGAGGGAATAATCAGTGGAGACATACTCCATTAGTATATAATATCAAAAGATTCAGAGTAATTCATAACCTTTTTTTGGGTCACAGATACCCTGGGTAGTCTAAGGAATCCTACAGTCCCCCTTCTCAGAATAATGAGTTAAAAAAACCATAATTGAAGGAAATGCCAAATTTTAGTTAGAGGTTAGTAAAAATAAAGATGTAAAAATTTCCTGAGTTTATGGACTGCCTGAAATCTGTCTACAAACTACCTATGGGGTCCGTGGATCCCAGGTTAATAACCGCTGATCTAGAAAAACACCTCCTATAGGTTGGGAAGAGAATTTACAAGAAGACATAGACACAAATGCAAGATATAAAGGCATGGACAGATTGCAAAATACACCCTTGGAGGGAGTACCAAAACTGATGAGATCACAAATCCATTAAAAGTATTTATGGCTAAATAGCTTTGATTAGAAGGATGAGCTATCTTTTCTAGAGAATCCAAATTGTGAATATAAAATAAGATATTTTTATAGCACTAAAAGGTAGATCATCAAATCTTAATGAATACCCTATTTTGAAACATATACAAGAAATTTTACAAAATACTGAGATCTCTTCCCAGTAAGAATGCACATAAAAAGGACCAATATGTAAATTGTTAATTTATTGTAGTATGATCTTCTATCTGTGTTGTTTTTTATGTTATTGGGAAAAGAAATGAGTCTGAGTATATGCTCAGTATATTGAGGGAGGAAACTCTGTGTATATAGCAAGAAGTATATCTGGAAAGGGGTGGGAACATGACCTTTCACCCTGGAAAGCTTGTAAAGATTAAGTTAAATCTTGCCAGATATCCTTTTTCCTATATTCACACAATAGGGACCTTTCCTTCAGGTGACCCATAAAGGTTAATGGAAGAATGCTGTCTGCACACATATGATTCTTTTGGAGAGAATAGTTTTCATAATTTAGGACTTACATGGGGTCAACACATATAGAGGCTTGAATCTCTAAATTATTTTGAAATTCTTCTATTCCATTCTTTCTTCTAATGACAATACACAACATAAAAGATGCATGAGGTTTGATTAGAGGCTTTCTGAAATGAAGGAAAAGGTCTTGTCAACTTGTACATTGTGTTTAGGCCTGAAACATCCAGCTAGGATATTTTTCCATGAAAAGAGGAATTTAGGAAAACTATTACCAAGGGTTTAAAAGTGGAAAAGCAGTTGGGCTGCATGTGGAGGGAAGATTGACATCAACAGGCTTGTTTCAGTCCCTAATGGCAAAGTGGGAAGTCATTCTCAACTTAGTGTCTCTGGGAGTTTCTGGCAGATCCATAGCTATTAGATATGTCAAGTGTAGAAATATATCAAAGAATGGGAAAGAATTGGCTTTAGGGGCTGAGAAGACTTCACATCTAGGGTGCCCACTGAAATGTAGTCATGTTCTCAAGGTATTGTCTAATTTCAGGGCAAACAATGCAAAGCTCACTTGAAACTTAGTAGTCTCATCAGAAGTCAAAGGAAAACCAGTCCAAAAACAGGAAGCAGACTGGGTCAGATTACCTAATCTGAGCGGTTGGTGTTTCTTTGTTAATCTACATAATAACTTCTACTTTTCTGGAGTAAAGAGGAGGGAGAGGGAAAGGAAGAGGCAGCAGTGGTCTGCCAGGCTTGAAACAGTGTCTAGCATTCTTACATCATTAAGGATTTTCCTAGCTTAGTTCATGGGGTTTGTTTAACCCTAAAGTGTCTGGTGTTTAGGGTCAGAAATGAAGATAGTTCCATGAAGTAGGACCTTCTTTCTCCCTGTGGTTCAATGGGGCTATCAGCAATGTGTGTGTGTGTGTGTGTGTGTGTGTGTGTGTGTGTGTGTGTGTGTAAAATCAGTACTAAATTCTTTTAGAAAACAAAAGGATATTGAATACAGGAATCTGTGGTATGTGGGGTGGATTTGGAATTTTTCTTTTTTAATTTATTTACTTATGTTTAGTTTTGAACATTCACAAAACAACAGATTTTGAGCTCCAAATTTTCTCCCCATCCCTCCTCTCCCTCCACCCCAAGATGGCATGCAGTTTGATGTAGGCTCTACATAAACATTCATATTAAACCTATTTTCACATTAGTCATGTTGTAAAGAAGAATTAGAACCAATGGGAGAAACCACGAGAAAAAAGAAGAAAAAAGAGAGAGAGAGCAAATAATATGCTTCAATCTGCAGTCAGACTCCACAGTTCTTTTTCTGGATGTGGACAGCATTTTACATCATGAGTCTTTTGGAGTTGTCTTAGATCCTTGTTTTGCTAAGAAGAGATAAATCTATCAAGTTAGTTAGTCATTGCACAATGTGGCTGTTACTGTGTATAATATTCTCCTGGTTCTGCTCACTTCACTTAGCATCAGTTCATACAAGTCCGCCTGCTCATCATTTCTTAAAGCACAATAGTATTCCATTACATTCATATATCACAACTTGTTCAGCCATTCCCCAATTGATGGGCATCCCCCTCAATTTCCAATTCTTTGCCCCACAAAAAGAGCTTGCATATATATACATATATATATATATATATATAGCACATTTTATATATATATATAGATACATATAATATTTGTACTTGTGGGTCCTTTTCTGATTTGTATGATCTCTTTGGGATGCAAACCTAGAAATGCTATTGCTGGTCAAAGGGTATGCATAGTTCTATAGCCCTTTGGGCATAGTTCCAAATTGCTCTCCAGAATGGTTGTATCAGTTCACAACTCCTCCAGCAATGCATTAGTGTTCCAATTTTCCCACATCTTCTCTAGCATTTATCATTGTCCTGTTTTGTCATGTTAGTCAATCTGATAGGTGTGATGTGGTACCTCAGAGTTGTTTTGATTTGCATTTCTCTAATCAATAGTGATTTAGAGCCTTTTTTCATATGACTATAAATAGCTTTAATTTCTTCATCTGAAAATTGCTTGGTCATATCCTTTGACCATTTCTTAATCGGGGAATGACTTGTGTTCTTATAAATTTGACTCAGTTCTCTATATATTTTAGAAACGAGGCCTTTATCAGAGACAATGGTTATAAAAATTCTTTCCCAGTTTTCTGCTTCCCTTCTAATCTTGTTGCATTGGCTTTGTTTGCACAAAAACTTCTCAGTTTAATGTAATCAAAATTATCCATTTTGCAATTCATAATGTTCTCTATCTCCTGTTTGGTCATAAATTCTTCTGTTCTCCATAAATCTGACAGGTAAATTATTCCTTGCTCTCTCAGTTTGCTTATAGTAAAAGCCTCTATATCTAAATTGTGTAACTATTTTGACTTTATTTTGGTATAAGGTATAAGATGTTGGTCTATGCCTAGTTTCTGCCATACTCTTTTTCAGTTTTCCCAGCAGTTTTTGTCAAATAGTAATTTCTTATCCCAGAAGCTGAATAGTAGATTACTATAGTCATTGATTACTGTGTCTTGTATACCTAACCTATTCCACTGATCCACCACTCTATTTCTTAGCCAGTACCAAGTAGTTTTGATGATTGCTGCTTTATAATATAATATAAGTTCTGGGATGGGTAGGCCACCTTCCCTTGCATTTCTTTTCATTAATTTCTTTGATATTCTGGATGGAATTTTTCTTGAGGCAAAGAGTCAAATTTTACCTTGATATAATTTTAGATAATGGACTACCTAGTTTTGTGACTCTGGACAAACCTCAGTTTCTTTATTTTTAAAGTGGAGGTAAAAATAGCACTTACCTCACAAGGTGGTTGTGAGGAGCAAACAAGTTAATGTATGTAAAGTACTTTGCCAACTTTAAAGCACAATGCAGATATGAATTAATATTAGCCAATAGCTCATACTTGTAGAGTGCTTTAGGCTTGCTTGATTTCATTTGATCCTCACAACAATTCTCTGTGCCTCGATATCTTCACATGTATAATAGGAAAAATATTTATTTGCTACTAGGTCATCAAGAATACCTCTAAAATTATGAATCTGGATGACTGGGAGGATAGTAGTGCCCTCAACGGAAACAGAGAAGGCTGGAAGAAGGACCAGTTTAAGAAAAGAGATGATGATCTATTAGTAAGTATATACTTTGTTTCATTTAATCTTTCTATACTAATACTTATTCTATCTCACTGGCATATTTTAAACATTTCTCCTAATTATGTTATTCATGACTTCAAGTTTCTTGTGGCAGAAAAGGCTAATCTTTTTTTAAAAAAATAATAACATTTTATCAATGGGGTTGAATGGCATCAAGACATAGAATAATATTGTGTGATGAATTAAAAATGATTATCATACAAAGAGCAATAGAGAGATGGGTGGGAGACTGCAATGTATGAGCAATGAAGAACTTCAGGTATGAACAGAGTGAAAGGGTGTCATCAAGGAAATGAATGAGGAGAGAAGGTGGGCTGGTCACATGATGAGGTAAAGAGATGACAGACAAGTGGACAGCCATTGGTACCCTTACAAAATCAAGAGAAAGCAAAAAAGGTCTCCAGTGTGTTGAATGGATCCTGTGGCAAACTTATAGGAAGACATAAACAAGAGACACACAGGATAAGCAGGCATGAAGGATGAGGATGAATTGCAACCTGAACTCCTAAATTAATGTGTCCCAGACCCATTTGGTATGTCCAATCACCCCAACTAAACAATGCTCAAGTGAGCGGGGGCCATATCTTCTCCCCCAACTTCTCTTCCCCCAACACCTAACACAACACAGATAATAGGTTTTTAATAAATCTTTGTGTGAATAAATTAATTTTATCGTGTTCCTTTAGTCCTCTTTAAGTAGGGCAATATACCCTTGTTCTCTTCCCATTCTTCAACCTCCATGTGGATCGCCTTTCTTGAATCTGTATCCATTCAGTGTGGACACAGAAAATGCAATATTCAGGTAAGGTCCCTGTAAAGTTTCCCAGGGAAACTTCAGTTCTCCGTTTCATAAGGCCTTTATGGAATACTATCAAGAATGATTGCCTTTATACTTAGACACCCAGTAGCAAGAAGCATTTACTTTCTTATCCCCCCAAAAGTCTTTATCTATGTTATTATACTCCCAAATAATGAAATCCAATAAACTGTAACTCAACAAATTAACATGATTTGATGAAAATATCGTGTGACAGAAGTTCTTAACTCTGTGAACTTTTTTTTTAGATAATTGTAAGAACAAACAACAACAGCAGCAAAAACAACATTTCAATTGGTTTCCTTTGTATTCCTTTTTGTTTTATTTTATGCAATTAATAATATCTAGCCTTTATATAGAACTTTAAGTTTTGTAAAGTGCTTTACATTTGATCCTCCTAGTCCTGAGTAATAGGTACTCTTATTCCCATTTTATAGACAGGGAAATTGAGGCATGGAGCATTTAAATGACCTAGTCCAGAACTCTGTGATATATAAAAAGTTTGAGAGACATAGTTTCTGGGTAATTAATCATTTTACTAATTATGCTAGCAGATAATTAATAAAAGTAGTTGGTGACACTCTTGAATGCCAGAGACCCCTCAAGGAACCCACTCAAGGCTTATATGCCCTTCGAAGAGTGAGGGGTTCCTGAGAGGGGCAATCAACTCTGATTGGTTAACAATTAATGAGAATGAATATCATGAGAAGTGGACCTATTCTAATGAGGAGCTGGGGGAGGTGACTTTGATTATGTCACCCATAGATAAAAGGACACTATCTCAAACCAGACTACCCCCAGTCCCAGGCAATCTAGACAAAAGATCTACCCCCCAGCTGAGCCTGCCAATGTGGAACACAATAGGCCGGAATTCGCCTTAGATTAAATTCTTTGTTAGGTTTTCTAGTTGGGTGGGGTCTTCTACAGAGGATCAAAAAGCCTGTACCCTGAGGATTTGGGCAATCTCATCCATCAACAATGTCCTTCACAAATTGGCTTGACCTAGTAGAGAATGAGGATAAAACCCTGGGTCTCCCCAATAATCATTTCTCTCAACTCTGTTCACTGCACCACCTAGCTGCCTTCCTATTAAAGAGTACATGTCACACACACAAAAAGGTTAAGAATCTCATATAGTCACCAAACCACCTTCAGCTCTGTGGTTGGTTGTCCGAAAACCAAACTATAGAGTAGAGAGGTAACAGCCGTGAAGTCTTTTCCCACCATCAACCCAGCCTTGGATTCTAGATGTCTCTCCAGTCAAAGGGCTTCTTTGTAAGATCTGTGTCAATTTTACCTTTTCCTTTAATGTCCATTTTCCAGAACAGGAACCTAAGTCCATGTGTGAGAGCTCACTTCTGTATCAAAGCTAGAAGTTTTCCATAAGTATGACAGATTTTTAAAAGTCTGTCAGGCTTCAACTTCTATACCATCTTCAAGTGAACCTTTTGAGTATGTCAACCTTTGTCCTCATACAGAAATTTTCCTTACAGCCACTTTGGGACTTATCTATGATAATGCAACTATCCCTTTTTCTTCCCAATGTTAGAAATAATATGTATTATAATATATATTAAATATAAATAACTATAAAATTTAGTTTAGAAGATGTACTCATATTTTCCTCATGTAATCTCTTAAACTTTACTCTTTAAAATTTACCTCCTGTAATTTAAAACTTTAAGATGTGATCATCTTAAAAAAAAAAGTATGATTAAAGGTGGTCTTTGAGGTTGCTTTTTGATTCCTAGAGCACCTGGGTCCAAATCCCACCTCTCACCCTCACTGACCTCTACAAAATGAAGGTCTAGGCTCGATGGCCTCCAAGGACCTTTCCAGTTCTAGAAATGTGATCTTAAGGGCTAATAACTAAATAGCATTGTTTTAGGTGACCTTTCCCCCTCCCCCCCAAATAATGAAAGTCTATTATGCTCTGTCATTAGTTTCCCTCATCTTCATCCTTTTCAAATTATGCAGTCACTGAAGCTGATTTTCTGGTGAGCACTGATACCCTCAAGATGATTTCAGGAGAAGAGGAAGAGAAGGAAGGCTGGGAGAAAACTGTTAGAAAAGAGATTTAAGATTTTGAATAGCAAATAGTCTCCAACTCATAGGCAATGTTGCCACCTGCTGACAGTAAGCAGAACCTGCAGCCTTAGGTGATTAAAAAAAAAAACCACCCACAAATATTTAAATTTCATCTTTTTCTTTTCCACATTCCTCCATTTATATCAAGCCTTTGAAACTTCAGAAAGACCAGATCTGAACTTTTTCTTTCTTTAGGAACATCCTTGTCATTTTTAGAAACTGGGAGAAAAGAAACAAGACGGGGTTTCTGGCTACCTCTTACTTTCACAACAGAAGGAGTGAAGCTGTTTCTCTCAGTGGAGGAAGGAATATGGTGAAGAAAGAAGCTGTTTAGGAAAAGGAGGAAAAATTCATTTTTTTCCTCTAGAATAGTCTATGCTAGAAAACTGGTTCTCTTAATTCTCCATATGTATAACCTCCAAGTATCTGACATATGCATTTCAAAATTTCAAAGACTTCACTAATGCTGAGGTTAGGATCTCCAAACTTAGTTAGACTTGTCTTTGGATAACAGACATACATACAGGCTGTCACCAGGTCTGTTCTTGAAGCCTTTCCACCTTATAATATCGGGTGGGCCAGATCTTGGGCTTCACTAGCATGGCCTTTGAAAACCCAAAACCAATCACCCTGTCACAGTTAGACCAAGACTTGAGTTTCTGATGCAAACAGCAACAAAGTAAGACTGCGTGTGGATCCTGTACTATATGAGATACTTCCTTTAGTAAGATGCCTGATTCTAGTAAGACAATGACATTATGGCATGGGGGAAGAGGATGGATTAGACCACTTTCTTCAGGCAAAGTAAATGTTTCAGTTGTTGACATTTGTCTCTGAGGACAATAGTGGGACAAATGCCTCAAGATCACTGACTTCCACCAGAACTAGAATATTTTATCCGCTCTGGGAGCTAAAAACTTGAGAATATATGTCTGTTCCATATAAAAAGGGTTTTTAACATCAGTTCTATGAAAAAAATTTAATATGTTGACAACTATATTTCAATATGATTGGTTTCCTTTATAATCCTATGTTTTTATTTTATGCATTTAAGAACACTATTCTGAGAAGGGGTCCATAAGCTGCCAAACCAGACTGCCAAAGGGGTCTGTGACACAAATTGGTAACTCCTGCTCTAAATGTAGCAGCGAGAGAGCCTGATAAAATCACACAAAATGACTATTCTTCTGTTGGATAAAAATGTTGTCTAAAACAAGGAATGTTTTAACAGATAATTATCATGGTAGTTGTAGTGGTAAATGTGTTCCTAAAAGGTTTTGTGCATATCATCATAGCTCAAATTTTCTAGACAGGTTTGGCTGTTTAAGACAAAGAATAATGAATCCTTTTAAAGCAAGTATTTGTCCCTGATTTATCTGTGTACTTCTAGATTTTCATGCTAGGTTTGCTTAAAGCAAGTTAACTGGATTGTCTATGCTATATTAGAGTTGTTAATTGCTAACAAACAAGTTTGCAGCCTTTGGGAGATTAATGGTTGAAATGCGGGTAATGGTTTTGGAAAGGCACTTTTCATCTACGATTTTTGAAAATTTATTTGAGAGAGTTTAGCACTATTGTAGGTTCTCCTTTATCCCACCCATCAGTAAATGTCTTGGTTTAGTAATTTTTTTTTAATATGAGAACTAATTTTTGGGTTTTTTTTTTTCCCTCACTCAGAAAAAAATCTTACCCTGACACTCTTGTTAGGCCTGGGAGAAAGAGAGAGGAAGTTATCTACTCTGCAGTTTAATACATGTTTTGGAGTAAGATTTCCTAAGGAGGGAAGTGTGGTAGGAAATAGAAATGTTGTGATATTTTATTTCCTAAGGAAGGAGGGGAGGAATGGAGATACCAGTATTGGAATTTCATCTTAATTACATCTTCTTGCATCTCTTGTACATAGGAAATAATTGCTTTGCATGCTGTTAGGTAATTTAGGAAGCTATCTTGAGGAAGTATTACTTTACTAAAAATCATGAAAAATTTTTTTTTTCCTCCAAGCGCTATCAACTCAGAGAACAAATCTGACATCATGTCTTCTTCATCTGGGTAGCAATTACCGATCCATTTG